TTTTTTTGTTTTAGTGTCTATTTGTACTTGTAAGAGAATTCCTTAGCCATGAGCAATTAAGTTCTCCACTATTAGATGTTGATGTAGTTGTTTGACTCCATGTAATCCTTCTTATTCTTATTCAACAAACATATTTATTCAATTAATTATTTTTACACTTCTCTTAATGCTTGTTATGGTTTGATCATCCATTGCATAATTTCATAATTTTATCTAAGGATGAAAAACCTTTATAAGAATACGATATGGATAAAAACACTAATAACACTTATTACTAGGAATAAGATAAGAATTATTAGTCATTTTTAGGTCTCTTATCTTAATGCAAATTGCTTAATAAACTTTATCAAGGAATTGAGATTTTTATTTAAAAACTCATAATTTCTAGCTTAAGGAGTTAGGGTTTAAATAAATTTGTTAAGTGTTGAATTTACTTAATATTTATTGAAATTGAATAAGAATTGAGAAGGATCCATGCGAAGAATGATATTGAAATCAATCTCTAACAATTTTTATCGATTAATTTTCAAATTTTAGCTTATTCTATTGTCTATTTCTGAATCCTAAAATTATTTTCTAATTTTTATTAAAGTCTTTAAACAAATTGTTTCTCTGAATTCCCTTAATTATTGAGAAAATTAGATTAATTAATCGTAAAATAAGTTATGAAAATTTGACACTTTTTGATCTATTTACTACTTGTTGGTATAATTGACAAATATTTAACAACAAACGATAATATATATGGCGTATAATGTATGTGTATATGATATCTTTTCACATTTATGATAATTATTAATTTCAAATAACTTGGATTATTCCATAGTTAATCCTTAATAGACTTTCTGTTCTGAGTTATGTCTTGTTACATCTTTGACATCCTACTAGTGATGGGTCCTCTCTCTAATATTTTATTTTCACTATGTTAGGCCACCATAACAATAAGTCTTTTGGACTCAGTTCATTTGGTCTAATGTCATCCCCTCCTAACTGTCTAGCATTTTATGGCAGTTGTTGCACAAAAAAGCTACCAATTGATGAGAATCTCATATCTCGGGGCATTATCATGGTTTCTATATGTGTAGTTATTGTGGTCTTCATATAAGAGCATGGATTATTTGTTTCTTCAATGCAACTTTGCTAAAGTTTTATGGTCTTAACTGCAAGACATGATATAGGTTACCATTGATTTGTCATCCACCATCTTGCTTTTCAGTTTTCTTCAAAGAAGTTGGAGTAGTCAAGTTATGAATGTTTTGGCCTCTATGGTGGTGCATGTCATTTGGATCATCTAGTTAGGGAGAAATTGTTTGCGCTTTAAAAATAGAGCCTTTTTATTCCAACACTCGATTTTAGTGATTGTCTCAACTGTTTGTTTGACAGTTAAATTGTCAATTAGTTCGAGTTCTCGTTCCATGGAGGAATTCAATATCTTGGAACGTCTCATGGTCTTTATTCATTCGTCGAAGCCCACTTTGAGCAAATAGGTTAATTGGTACCCTTCAACTCGCGACTTTATAAGGTGTAACATAGATGGTGGTGCTTAAGACCCCTTGGTCATGCTACTTGTGATAGTAACAAAACTTTTTTGGGTGAATTTGTATCCTACATTGGTATTAAGATCGCTTTGCATGCTGAACTTATTGTTGTTATGTGTGTTTGAACATACGCATGGTGCTGGGTGGTGCAAGCTTTGGTTAGAGTGTGATTCTAAGCTTGTTTTGAATGCTTTTAGAAACATCTAGATTGTTTCTTGGGACATCCATGGTAGATGGAAAAATTGTCTCTCACTTTGTTCGCATATACAATTTTTTTTCATTCTCATATTTATAGGAAAGGAAATCAATGTGTAGACAAATTAGTTGATTTTGATTTAACACATAAGATTATTTATAAGTGGTGATCTATTTTACTTTCTTTTGTTTGAGGGGATTTTTTTTTTTTTAATCTTGTGATTTACCTTCTTTTCGATTTTGTTGATTCTTACATGATTTTGGTATAGTTTTTCCATGTTATTGTTACTATTATTTTTTCTCTTTATATATATATTAGTATGTTGATATGATTGGTAGACTTTTAAGTGTCAATCTTGTTGGATATCTTAGTTCTATAGTGATACTTAGCATATTAAACCTTTTATTTGGAAAAAAAATTATACTGTCTCAGCCGAAAAAAAAAATTCTATCTCATTAAATTTCTTTTCCTTTCACAATCATCCGTTTGTCCTTAACAAAATCTTTATTGGGATAATTATTCATTTCTTTTCAATTTATAAATCACCAAAAGGTTGTTAATAACATATGAAAAATTTTCCCTATTTTTGTTATTATAATACATGTTTTTATTTTATTTAACTGGCCTTAACAATATATCATATATGGATAACAAATATATATAAAACAACTCAAGAGGACGAAGGGTCCACTTTCCAGAGAGGCCAAATGACAAATTATGTTGGAAATTGTCAAATTAATAACCCTCTAATAATATTTTTATATATAGTACAATTAATGTGACCTCAACGATGAATGTGTGTTTAAATTCAACAGAAATTATCATTATATCAGAAAAGTGTATTGGCATGCATGTAATTATTTTTTGTTTAATATTGTTGTACACGTAAGATTAAAGTACGTACCTTAAAATATAAAAGAGTACGTACAACTAGGTAACATGTGATACATGTGTTTGGGGATCCCATATCAAATATGAGAACCTCACATGCTAATAACATCCTATATTCAAATATATATATATATAGTGCGTGTATACGTACAAGTAAGATATTTGTGCATCAACTTTAAGTGACATTTGGTTAAAAAAAATAAATCTTTTTACTCTAAACTATATCATTTTTTCGGAAAGAGAATGAACATCTACAAAATTTTATAATATATATTTAATTTGCAGCTAAATTTCTCAGGAAGTAATATTTTTATTTTTAACAATAGTTTATTTTCAAGTTTTATTCAAATGAAATATTTCTAAGAATATATAATCTACTTTTTTTTTTAAATATCCTTAATTAAAATAAAATAACAATGGAACAAATAATTTTTCAAGAACATACGAGCATAGACTTTTGGCGATAGTAGTGATAGACAAGGATATAAAACACTTATCATGTTATTACTATTCTCAATTTTATTTCCACCTACAGATTTAGGTAAAAACAAACTTTTAACTTTTATTTAGAAATAAAAATTTGAAGAATTTTATACTAAAAAATATTTATATTCTCTTTTATTAAACGTGAAAAATATTTCTAAACTTTTCCTAAAAATATTAAAATAATTATTGTACTAATCACGACATTAATATACTGCTAGGAAGGGTAGAGGGTGAAACTGAAAATGAATGAATAAGCATAGGGAAGCAGAAAATCCTTCATAAACTTGGCACAAGTAGGTTACTTAATTAGACGTCCAATGCATAGATTCAGTTTTATGCATAGTCTGTATATTATCAAAACATGCTATTTCTTTGTGTCATGTTATGATATTAAATCCACATACGATAAATTTTATCTTTTTATATATCTTTTGTTTTTTTGAGTATGCATAGATATTTTCACGTGCAAACGGATCCCACCTGATTCTAGCTAGTTGTAAATTTGATATCTTTAGACTCTGTACATACTCCATGTTAGATCTTCCTTTCTATAGGTTTTCCATATTAATTTCAATTTTTGCATCATATGAATATATATTTATATGAATTAATCATCTATATATATATTACTATTGTAAAATTTGTTTTATACTGACAATTAATTATATCTCTTAATTATATTATGTTATTGTTAAAAATAAATGTGTTTATAGTGACATAATATAATTAAAATATATAATTAATTGTCAGTGTAAAAATTTTTTACACTGATAATGTATAGGTGATTAACTCTATGCATATTCCCTTAACTTTTCTTCATTTAATTTTATCATTTTTTAAATTTGCGTGTCATCTGCTGGATCATTGGTTTTCGCTTGAGTATTTTTATGCATCTTAATATATATATATATATATTATTTTCTTTTCTATTACGGGCGTTATTATTAATTTTTTCTAGGCAAAAGGAATATTATTATTTCTATTACACCCTTTGAATAGAATCAGGGAAGTTAATTATTTGCAGTCTACCTACACTTTCACGCCACATTTCTTTATTCTTCAAAAATTAATTCTTAATGCAAAATTCTTTTAGCTTGAATATGCTGATAATTTAAAAAGGAAAACAACTTTTCATATATATCGAGAATTTCCCCCTCCCCCCTACATATATATACAACTATTTCTAACCGGATAAAGATATAAAAAGAGAGGGAAAAGGGTAAAAATAAAAATAAAATTGAATAATGTGATAAAAAAAAATAATTTAACAAGAAAAATAATAAATACTAAATAATATGACATATAAAAAGTGTCACTATAGATATAATATACATAAACATATATCTATTTAATATATAATTACACATAATTTTAGTGTCGATTTTAAATATGATTTAATAACATATTTTATATATAATTATTGTTTATATCTCACACTTTTTTAACAATATAACAATATATATTGTATCTATTATTTGAGTAAAAATAACTTTCAGTGACATATATTATATCATTATAAGTTGTATATAGTTATATGATTTTTTATATATACATAGTATTTTTTTTTTTGTTATTGAGAGTTTTTATGGTATTTAAAGAATTTTTTCATTTAAAGTCAAAGTTAAATAAATTTAGCCAAACAAAAAATGAAAGAGAAAATTTCTCAATAACAATACTAAAACCCTTTAATTGTCGAGGGTTATTTTTTTTCTTTTCCTTTTTAAGAAGAATATATGCTTATGCAAACAATTTATTGTAATATCTTGTAAAGAAAGAAAAGAAAAGTTGTAATATTGTGAATAGTGGCAAGTGTGATCTCCATATATATAATAGACACATTTCAAAGAAGATCGATAGAGATAGATAGCAATCCTAGCAAAACAATCTAACAAGATTCTCTCATATCTTTTCCCCGACTTCCCCAATGAATCCTCTTGGCCTTTATCAATACTCTATCTCACCACCTATATATTTGACCTCTTCCCTTGTCTTTCCCATCCATTATTCATTCACTCTTCTCTTTTGATCTTGCTTCTCTCTCCATCAAACACACTCACTCTAGTTGTTTTGTTCACTTCAAACTTAAACATCATGCTACTCCCTCATCCATCAATGCTAGTTGCACCTCAAAACACCATAGAAAATGACAGACCAAACTTTGATGGACCCTTGATGCTAAACCAATCCAACATACCCTCTCAGTTCATATGGCCTGATCATGAGAAGCCATGCCTAGGAGCACCAGTACTCCACATGCCACCCATTGACATGAAGGGTTTTCTCTCAGGAGATCCACAAGTTGTATCTACTGTTTGTGCACAAGTGAATGAGGCATGCAAGAAGCACGGCTTCTTCCTTGTTGTCAACCATGGTGTGGATACCAAGCTCCTGGCTCAGGCTCATAAGCTCATAGAAGAATTCTTCTCCATGCAACTGCCAGATAAGCAGAAGGTTCAGAGAAAACTTGGAGAACATTGTGGTTATGCTAATAGCTTCATAGGAAGATTCTCCTCCAAACTTCCTTGGAAGGAAACACTTTCTTTCCATTATTCTGATGATAAATCCAAAAAAACTGTGGAGGACTATTTTGTAAATGTCATGGGGGAAGACTACAGGCAATTTGGGTAAGATATATAGAATGCAGTGTAAAACATGTTTTTGAATACTTATCTAATAAAAATAAAGAATATTTTTTGGTACCAAAATTTTTAGAAGTCTTTCTAAATTTGTATGAAACATTTTCATACTTAATTTCTAGCCTCTAAAAGATCATAAAGTTCATTTTAAAGGTATAACTTCTCATAATTGTTCACACACTATTTTACACAAACAAGTTTTTCTTTTCTTTTTTAAATAAATCATATGAACTCCTATAAAAGCTAAACCACTGAGATATCTTACGAAAAGTATTTTACACACATAAGTAAAATCATTTTTGTTGAAACTCTTTTTACATAGCTGCAACACATATCTAATGCTTTTCCTTTTGTTCTTTGTATTCTTTTTCTCTTCTCTTTCTGATGTTCTACACATGCATGCGCGTGCATATATATATAGATAGATTCACAGAAGTAGATAAATGTTCTCCATACAGGCTTCTTTTTTGTCTTCATCTTCTTTTGTTTTTAAATAACAAGTGCTTTATGTTTCCATTGCTACAGGAGAGTGTTCCAAGAATACTGTGAAACCATGAGCAATCTCTCACTTGAGATCATGGAGCTTCTGGGGATGAGCCTAGGAGTTGGAAGGGAATGTTTCAGAGAGTTCTATGAAGGAAATGAGTCGGTTATGAGGTTGAATTACTACCCACCATGCCAGAAACCAGAGCTAGCTTTAGGAACTGGACCTCATTGTGACCCTACATCCCTAACCGTTCTCCACCAAGATCAAGTCGAGGGCCTCCAAGTCTTTGTCGATGGAAGATGGTACTCTGTCGCTCCTAAAGAAGATGCTTTCGTTGTCAACATTGGCGACACATTTATGGTATGGATCATATAATTACAAGGTTGACAAGTTGCTTTTTGGATGATAATTGACACTCAATTAATAATTGATATGTATTGTAGGTCCATATAATTAATGTCCTTCAAATAGTGAAAATAATTACAACAATGACATACATCAATTACTAAGTTGGCTACTTAAGGTTAATTACTGGGTAATATCATGCACTTGTTCTTCAGCCTTGAAGCTAAAAAGTTGAAAGGACAAAACTTAGATTTATAATGTTTTTAATGATTTCATCTTAGTAATCTGCATAATAAAAGCTTGTATTATAGGTGTACTCCTAACTTATAAATATGAAACTCTAATTCTTATTAGAGAATACTAAAAAAAAAAAAAATAGTGTACTGATGTAAAACTTTAATGTTGATAAAAAAATATCATTAAAAATACTGATAGAAATGTATACAAGTTTTATCTGAATTTAAATATGATAATAATGTGCTGTGGTTTATCTTTCAGGCTCTATCAAATGGGATTTTCAAGAGTTGCTTGCATAGAGCAGTTGTGAACAACAAGATTGTGAGAAAATCACTAGCTTTCTTCTTATGTCCAAATAAAGACAAAGTGGTTACCCCTCCAAAGGAATTAATCACCATCGAGAATCCAAGAACATACCCAGATTTCACTTGGCCAAGTCTTCTTGAGTTCACACAGAAACATTACAGGGCAGACACAGACACTCTTGTTGCTTTCTCGAGGTGGCTAGAAGAGAAAAACAACTGAACAGGGTTGCCCGCACACCTGTTCCATGGCCAAAAGAACTATAAACCGAGCTTTAACTTCTACCTGTTTGAGTGAGGAAGATGACATCATATAAAGTGAAAGAGGGTTGCTTTCGGTGGGTCGAAAAAGATAACGGAAACATCAAAAAAAAAAAAAAAAAAGGGCTACTTAGTGTTGGGAGAATCGTATTTGAGCAAATGGAAGAAGCTGAGGCCATATTCGTAGGAATAAAGAGTTGATTTGTGTAGTGAAGTTATTCGATGTTGTCACTACTAATGCATTATTAGTTGTCTTTAACTTTCTTGTAACTGTGTTATGCATGTATGTACAACCTTTAATTAGTAATAAATTGCCTTGCATGTTTGTTGTGTCATCAGATTTGTAAGAATTATTTATTCCAATTCTCAAAAAATATTAATTAATTTAATATGTTCAACTATTTACAGTAATAACCAATACTTATTATTGATCTAATTGGTATTATAATTAATTTTTAAATTTCAAAATATTAACTTCAAATCTTAGATTTGATAAAATTAAAAAGAATAATTTTAATAGAATTAAGATTCTGAATCTTGTCAATATCATAATAAAAAAAAACATAAAAAAAATAAGAAAAAATTGACGACTTATAATGCTGGCATGCAAGCAATTTATCCAGTGATATATTGACGTAGCTGTCAACTTCTTTTGAGGACTTAATAAATTGATTTTAATTTGTTTGAATTCAAGGTTTCAAACAATTAAATATCAATCCAATTTCCTTTCAAAAGTATAGTTTTTGCTAAACAAAGCTATAACACCAGTCACGAACATGTTCGTCTGTGTATGCTATTTTTTTTTTTTTGGAGGATTAAAAGATGAAGGTACTCTAAGCAATATGTATATATAACATAAAGTCTTAACTCCACGGAAAGAAAACTAATTAACATCATATTATATTTATTCTACATAATTTCAAATAGCATAGAAGATTCTACGTTTGATGAGTTTTAAGAGAAGTAAAACAAAATAAAGTAGAAGACTCAAACGCGATTATTTTAGTTTCACTAGCAAGAGTAGAAACAGAACCAAAGATAACAAACAGAAAATAGAGTGTTCTGTTGTGACCCGTCCACCAACCAAACGTTACCTGAACCACTCATTAATAAATCATGAAACCATGCACTTACACTTTTAATGTTGTGTTGATATGTTGTATACTATAAGTTGCTTTGTTGTATGGTTTACATGTTGGTGATTAATATAGATGTTTTTACTTCTATATTTATATTATGTTGTATTTTTTTATATACTAGCTTATCCTTGGATGTTTTCTTGTGATTTAACTGTGATAATCATATTTTTATATAAGAGTAGGACAAAGTTAGATTGAAGGCTTTTGGAGCATTAAGAGCTATGGTGTTGGCATATAGCTTGGTGCTACTTTTGTTGGTAGTTTTGTTATACTTGTTTGACCAATATCTTAGGATTTATATTTTACAATGTTGAATTACTGTACATATAATTATATATAGCTATATAGTTATTTTATTTATAGTTACACACACATATACACACACACACACACACATATATATATATATATATATATATATATATTATGATGCACATATCCATGTATTGTGATTAAATTAATTTTACGTAATTAATTGTTACACTTTTTAATTATTTTTTGTATATATAATGCGAATTTAACTGATACAATTGTTAAATTATGTGATATCATATTCAAGACATGTATATCAAATTTTATATAATTTGAACTTTTCTATATATATTATCTAAAAATAGATGTTTACACATATTTTAAATATTATATTACATGTTAAAATAAAGTAATATGATGAACTACTATGAAAATTTGAAATTGTATGAATTTCAATATATATAATTTTGAATATAATATCATATATTCAAAAAAAGTTCAAGTCACGTGAAATTTGATATACATGTCTTAAATATGATATCACATAATTCAAATCAATGTATAAAATATTTTTATGATTATCTATCAATTTGAATTAAATAAATAAAGTATTAAATAATTTTTAAAATTTTGTAAACTTAATTTATACATTAAAACATTTTAATGTATATGAGTTATTGAGTGAAATAAATCTAAATACAATTATTTTTGGAGTAAGTGTATCCCTCTTCTTCTATATATATACATATATATATATATATATATATATATATATATATATATATAATTCTTAAAATTTTAAAAAATACTACTAAACAACTGGTGTAAAATCTAGTAGTAAAATGTCATTTTTTTTCCTAGTATAATCGTGGATCTATTTTGTAAAGAAATATTAATATTTTACACGAAAGAACAAAAGGATAATAATAACACAACGTTTCTCAATTACTATACGTTGGGATTAACTTGGGTATGCTTGTTCCGATTAGGGTCAAGAATGAATCGAATTAAATCGATTTTACTTCAAATATACTTAATAGCATTTAGTTTAGTTCAAAACTCGACTCAAATTCAATATATAAACATTTTTCTTTACTTAAATTCAACTCAATTCAAGCATGATTTGAATTCAACATGAACCAAATATCAAATTTGGTTAATCTATTTATCAAAGTTTAACTTTTAACTCATTTAATTCATTAATCAAATCTTTTGAATTTAATTTTAAAGTATTTTTGAGTAGATTTTCCAGATTTGATTTTACCAAAAATCTCAAAGTAATTGCTTGAGATTTTGATTTTCATCCATATCGGTCACACTCAACTGAAACACGATAGTCTTTCATAGTGGATTTTTCTCCTTTGAGAACCGCCAAGTTCCCCAATGAAAATCAACACGATTTCAAAATATTGTAACATGGTTGGATATATGTAATTAAGTAATGGTGTATTTCCCAGACGATAAGGACCACTGAGTAAGAAGAATACATTATGTTAGAATCGTCGCACACAATAACTTCAAAACTCACCGACTGGGTTTGGACTCAATTGCTTTCTTATGTCACTTTAATAATGACTGCATGGCCGAGTAACTGCTTCATCTTAGCAAACTTTTGTTTTTAGCAATGCAAGATCGATCGACTTTGTTCATCAATAAAGACAAAATCCTCTGTGTTCCATAATTGGTAATAATATAATCTTAAAGTGCCAATACTTTTTTCTTTTTTTTCTATCATAGATATCTTTAGTTTATTAAGATAAAGATTAATCTAACTCGTGATATAGTTGTTGGTCTATACGGTTTCTACATACAATATGATCAAATATGAAATTTCTTGATAAATTTATAACGTTTAAACGCAAAGTGTTTAACTATTACGTGAATATTTCATCGAGTTTTCATATAGTGCCAATATTCCAAAACTTAGGAAAGGAAATATACTGTTATTTAATTTGTATAAAAATGGAATTATTTAAGAATAATATTCGTGTGACCTTTCATATAAGGATTATCCTATTGATCACCATTCCACTTGATGGAACTCTAATTTTATTGAATTATACTGTCGCATCAAAAATAAATATTGGATTACTGTCTTAATTGTATTCTTTAAATTAATCTTAATTAATTTAATGCTGTTGGGGCTGTGATCCCTGAATATACAAAGAATGACATAGGTTTGTTTAACTCGAGGCTTAAACAAAAGCACAGCAGAAACGACGAGCCATCCATGTCTAACAATAAGAAGGGGAAAATATAAATGATTAGAGATAAGCTCAAAATTATTTAAAGGATATATATATATCATTGTTCCCCAAAAGATAGTGCACGTTGGGTTGACTCATTTCACGTTTTATTTTAGAGATATATAAATAAAATCGTTATGGATTTACATCTTATTGTTTAATTTGGACCCGATACATTACGCTATGGTCTTTAATTATATGGATCAACTAGAAGCTAATGTTTGATCTTGTCCTTAATTCAGAGTGGTAGAATCGGTTGCAGTGAAATTCATCTGCAGATTATTTTAAATTGTTTTTCTCGAACTTACTTTAGAGGAAACTCATGTTTTGCAGTGACTGAATCTAATGGGAGCACAAGAAGGATATGATTTTTAATGGTGATCGTTGATATACAGTATTTTGATTTCGGAACGATGGGGTAGATTACTTGCAATTTTTTTTTAATTATTTTTAGTACAATATGTCACCAATAAAATTAGAATTTATGACTTTTTGCATGCTGATGAATTTCTTTCATTATTAGCCACATTTAATGGTTCACAAAACTTTCAAATAGGGATGAAAAAATATATATATTCGCCCGGATAATATTCGTCACAGGTAGAAAATAATATTGTTAATGAGTATATACGGATAATAGGAATTGTGAACTGCACTATTAATTTTTTAATAGTTTAGTTTTATAAACTGCACTATAAAAGTAGTTTGGTTTAAACTATTAAAAAATAGTTTAGTTTATTATAGTTTAATTATTTAAAAAAAATTAGTTTAAAATAGTTTTGTAAAACGGATATGATATTATCTATATCATAGATATCCAATAACATTAAATTACTACTCTACATACTTTTCCTTTAGACTATGTATGTGTTAAGAGATTTTATGCAGTTTTATTTATTTATTCAGGCTTTTATACAGATTTTGATTTATGCAATTTTTATTTTTTTTTATATATATATTGTTTATCTAATTTTTTATGCAATTTTTTATTATGCATATTTATTTTATGTAAACTTTATGCAGATTTTTAAGATAAGGGAAGACTTTAAAATTGTTTTATGTTTCACTATTTACTCACAAAGTAGGGTTTTATTATTATTTTTTTTTACATAAAGTGAGATTTAATTATTTTCGTCATTTTATTGCACAAGATATATATTGATAATGATAGATAATAGTTTTTATTTTCTTTTATTATTTTAGACATTTTATACTACATAGTTTATTTTAACATTTAATATATTTACAATATTTATTTTACACAAAATTGCACCCTCTCTTAATAGATATATAAATATTATAGTTTTTCTTTTTATGTTAAAATATATAATTAAAACCTTTAAATTTAACATCTTGAAAATAAGTTACTCTTCCTTCTTTTAAGAGATATTTGTATTATAATATCATTTCTTCTTATACATGTTCAAATATAAAGTAAATTTGACACATCTATCCCCTAATTGATGCAAGTAAATCATGAGTTACAATATAACACTTTAAATTTTACTTTTAAAATAATTTGGTTCATTTATTTTCTTTTGATCTAATAGTTCTAGCAAATAACTCATGAGTTACAATAAAGAGTAAATCTCCTCTCTTAAAAAGGTATGAATAGTTGTGATGTGGGTAAATAAAACTTCTAACCAATTAATTATTTGGATTATTTACCTTTTTAACATTCTCAACTTGTTGACTTCTTAAATGATTGTTTTACCATGTAAGTTTCTAAAACTCAATGTTTTTAAACATTCAGATGTGTAGTAATTTCAATTTTGTATCCTACTAGTAATTCAATTAGAGTGGATCACATAGTTACCTTTTTTTATGTAATAAATTTTTTTGATTGTTCATAATTGTTATAGAAGCTCATTAATTACCATAAAGCATTTCTTTGTTTTGAAGTAAGAAAAATTACTAAAATATCTGATAAAAATAAATTTTTAATTTTCGTCCTTATTATTTTATTTTAATTCTTATAATATATAATTTGTTTATTTTAGTCTTTATAATATTTTTTCACTATGAGTTAGTTTCTCTGAAAGCAAATATTAGTAGGAATTAAAAACAAATTATCAAAATATTAC